TGTATCTTTGTGGTATGATTGAGCATTCCTTGGGTATATGCCCAAGAGTGTTATGGCTGGGTCTTGAGGTAGATCAATTCCCAATTTTCTGAGAAACCGCCATACTGATTTCCACAGTGGTTGTACAAGCTTGCATTCTCATCAACAGTGGAGGAGTGTTCCCTTTGCTCTGCATCCTCTCCAACATTGACTGTCATTAGTGTTTTTGATCATGGCCATTCTGACAGGTGTAAGGTGGTATCTCAGAGTCGTTTTGATTTGCATTTCTCTGATGATTAAGGATGTTGAGCATTTCTTTAAATGTCTTTCAGCCACAAATGCTTTTTTTTTTAGGAACCCGCCCCCCCTTTGAGACAGAGTTTATCTGTGTAGTCCTGTCTATCCTGAAACTTGTTCTGTAGACCAGGATGACCTCAAACTCAGAGATCTGCCTGCTTTGAGTGCTGGGATTAAAGGCCTGAGCCACCATACCACACCCAGTTTAATCTCTGCATTCAGATAGGATGATCACTCTATCAAATTCAAGACCAGTTTGGACTATTTGAGATCCTGTCTCAAAAAGAAACAAGAAAACTAAATAAGTTATATATTTTAAGGTTTGAGAAATGTATTTATGTGACTGTATGTATATTACATGTGTCTGGGTACCACAGAGGCCAGAAGAGAGCTCTAGATCCTTTGGAGGTGGAGTTACAGGCAATTGTGAGCTACCTCTTGTGAGTGCTGGGAACCAAACTTGAGTTCTCTGGAAGAGCAGCAAATCCTCTTAGGCACTGAGCCACCTCTCCAGTCCAATAAAAGTTATTTTTGAAATAAAAAGTGTTCAGGGAAAAAATTTATTTCTTCAAAATAATACGTCACTAAAAGTAGAATTATTTTAATATGGCCCAAAGTTTTTCTGATGTATAAAGTCAAGTTTTGTTAGAAACATCAGAAAGTTCATACATCTTTCCTTGTAATATCTTTATAAAAACAATAACAGATAAAATCTAAATGCATGCCAATTTAATGCCCAGTTAATTACATTTAATACTCCAAGAAAGGAGATTTGCTTCAGCAGGCATGAAATAATTAGTGGGTTATTGTTCTATTTCCTTTAAAAATCTATTTTACAAGACAGCCAAGATGACATAGACCCTGTGTCAAAAAAAAAAAAAAAAACCCACGTAACACAAATCCCATCCATTAGAGCTCAGCCCTTACCATCACACTTCTTAAAATGAGTGTAAGTTCCAAATTCACATGTAGCACCTGTTAGAATATCTTAGACTGGGGACATTTTATTTTCTGCCAATTCTCAGAAGTTGTTGACCCTTGTATTACATTTTTTCCATCAACTTTGATGAAGTATAGTTGACTAATACAAATTGAGCTGAGCATGATTGATACACGTCTGTAATTCTGGCATTTGGAAGAGGGAGGCAGGAGGATCCGAAATTCAAGGTCATCCTTGACTACCTAGTAAATTTGAAATTCATCTGGGCTGCGTGAGACCCTCCTATCCAGAAGAGAAATCCACAAAACCAAACAACAACAACAACAACAACAACAAACCACCCAACAACAAAACCCTACCACCAGGGCCAGGGAGATGACTTAGGAGGTAAAGGCTCCTCCCACCAAACCTGCCAACCTGAGCCTGAGCCCTGGCTCCACATGGTTGAAGGAGAACTGGTTCCCATTAGTTATTCTTTAGCTTTAATACATGTGCTGCGGCATGCATAATCCCACCCACATACGCACACACGCCATACAAATAAATGAAAATGTTAAAAACACACACGCACACAAATACATTTACCATGGGTATATGATATATACATAGTGATTTCACAATCCATCTAATTAATCTATCCATCACCCCATATACTTGCCTGTTTTTGTGTGTGATAAAAATAATAATAATTAAGTTTTTCTCTTAACAAATGTATAGGGTAGCATAGCATTTTAAAGTATAGTCATATCACGGTTCTGTGTGGTACATCCCAACAACTGACTCATCTTGTTACTATTCAGCTGGCTGGGGTCCTTTCGCTCTACCTGGAAGTCATGAATAGAGCCAATATTGCTGTTCTGGTGCCAGTAGTTCTAGGTCCTCAGATGCCCAATGCTGACCAAAAGGCTTCCAATTCCAAGCCCTAAGAGCCAGGAGCTGATTGCTCCTGACTTTAGA